CCGCGGCCGCGCGTGTTTCCCGGCAGCTCGCTGTGTAATTGACCTGGAAGTGAGAACACCTTGACCTGCAGTTGCGTCTCTTGGAGGAAGCAAAAGGCAGCCGGGTGCCCCGGTCTCCCTGGGCGGTCGATCTGCAGTGATTGTGTGTGTGTGTGTGCGCGCGTGTGCAGAGACGGGAGGCCTGGGCCGTGGGCGGGTGAGCCCCGCATTTCAGCTCGGCCTGGTTGTATCCGTGCAGAAGTTTATTTGTCTGAAGGCCGGCCTGCGGTGTGTCTGGTAGACCCCCTGCTATATATAGACTTACTTCTGTAAGTGTGCTTGGTCAGGAACATTTATTCTTTATCTCCTACGATTGGATACATCCGCCCCGGTGGGCGGTACAGCAGTGGTCCTGTTGGGTGTTTTTGCCCGGCCTTTCCATTTTAGTAACATGCCCTCTCGCCCTGGGCGGTGTGGGTCAGTGGTTAGAGCCTCGCCCGGGGCACCGAAGGGTCGCGGGTTCGTTTCCCGGTCGTGGGGCACGTACCCAGGCAGCAGGTTCCATCCCGGCCCCTGTCGGGGCGCGTGCGGGAGGCCACCAGTGGATGTGTGTGTCCCCTTCCCTCCCTCCCACTCTCTCTCAAAATCAATGGGAAAAATCACCTCCGGTGAAGACTAACCAAAATGAATGAAATAACATGCCATCTTATGGATAAAGTGATCGAATTAACTCCACACGCCAACGTGTAGCATTAAGGATGCAAAGTAATAGTCACTAGACTAGAGGAAAAATAGAAAGTGATCAATGAACTTGAATTTTGATGGGCCAATGGGGTAAAGAAGTGATTTGGCTATTTGAATATTGAGGGAGGTGACACTTACCCAAATTCAGCGCTAGCACTTAGTGTCTGTTTTCTATGTGCCAGACATTATAACATTATCTCATTTTAATTTTCACAACAACCCTGTGAAGTAGGTATTATTCAGAGAGGCTGAGTTCAGCATGGTAGCAACATGGTTCCACGTTGTGAAGGAGATTAAATTCCAGGTTTTTAAAAATAGTTTCCACCTCTGAGATCTCTAAAATATTTATCTTGGTGCACAGGTGAATTGGTGACATCATTTAAAATAAGAGCATTGGCAAGATTCTCCAATCTTTGTACAATACTCAAGAGATTGTCGTTGACATTTTAATGATATTAATGTTCAGTTATTCAAGGGGGAACTTGTGAGAGTTCAGTGATGAGATAATTGGGGAGTGAGGGGTTTGAAAGCGCTCTGCTGTTGGCAGTCTGTGTGAAAAGTAAACTGTCTTGCCCTAACCTGTTTGCTCAGTGGATAGAGCGTTGGTCTGCAGACCAAAGGGTCCTGGGTTCGATTCTGGTCAGGGGCACGTACCTCGGTTGCAGGCTCCTACCTGGCCTCGGACCTGGTGGGGCTCATGCAGGAGGCAGCCAATCGATGTGTTTCTCTCACATCGATACTTCTCTCTGTCTTTCCCTCTCTCTAACACTTTCTGAAAATCAATGGAAAAATATCCTCTGGTGAGAAAAAAAAAGTACGCTGCTTTAGTGTCTGCATGTGTTCTACTTTAACTTAACACTAAATAATGGTGAAAGGCTGATGCTTGGTTGTACCAGACAGTATGTTTATTTATAGCGTGTTAAAATTAAGAGATACACCATTTTTTGGAAGTCAGCTCCATGTGTGTCGAATGGTACAAAAAAAGATTGTGGGTGGGGTATAGGAAAGCCAGAGGAGTAGACCAGTGGTTCTCAACCTTGGCAGCACATTAGAATCACCTGGCCAGAAATCAGGATTTAAAAAAAGAAAAAAAGATCCCCAGATGATTCTAATGTGCAGCCAAGGTTGAGAACCACTGGATATACGGTCTCAAGGATCGTGTGATCAGCAGTACCAAAATCAGCTGGGAGCACCAATAAAGTTGCCTAAAGTTACTTGCTTTAGCAAAATGGGGATTGTTTAGAGCAGAGGTGGGGGAAGCGTTCCGCAGGCAGTGTAAGGCTCGCAAAATCATTTCATCTGGCCCTGCCAATGCATTAGGGGTGAGTTAATTAAGTGTTTGACCAAATATAGCAGGCTAATTTTTAAGTTGATAACGTTGCCAAGTCATGAATGATGTTATAAATATCCAAATGGCCCTTGGCAGAAAAAAGGTTCCCCACCCCTGATTGAGAGACAGAATAAGTATTCCAGTAGGTTGATTGATAGAATGGAAAGTGTAGAAAAGGGAGATGGAGAGTAGAAGACAAGAGCAAAGGGTGAACTGTGGACTATGTTGGGAGAAAGTTCTGTATAACGAGAGAGGTCTGACATGTACAGTATTGACTAAATAACAAGATTCTTCTAAGCTGATAGAACATGTCAGTTTGAAACACAACTAACTAAATGAGTGTTTTAAAGGAAGCCTGACCGGTAACTTGCATATGTTAAACAGTTTCTCGGGACAAAGCACCACTTCACAGCGTTTCATTTAGTCCACATAGACGAGAAGATGGAAACAGCTGCCAAGAGGCAGGCCAGAATTCGAGCCGGGCCAGTTCCAATGTTCAAAGCCCTTGGCTCTTAACCACTACCATGTTTAACTCCTTACGCATAAAGTATTACTTGGAGAAAACCTGGTAAACATGATACAAAAAGGCTAGAGAGGACATTGTCCATCTATTTTTTGCTTACTTTTGAAACAGTGTTTTCCGATTCTGTTCATACTAGTTGTATGGTTAAGACCTGACTGATTGCTGCTGCTATTCTGCCAAAACTGACCATTATTATGATACTGCTTCTTACTGTTATGCCCTGACTCTCTAAATTTGGCATTTTAAACATCTCTATTCACTACGTTGATTCCCCTCTCAATTTCATATCCCTCTGCACTTTCATTTCTACTTCGAACCTCCTTTTTTAGTCCTTAATTCCATTACTACCCTTAATTAATAGTTTCATATCCATGGGTTTATTTACTGTGTCATGAAAATACTGACACTTCCTTGTTCTGTTTGCTAGCATAGTATCTAGATAACACCTGGTTACTAAGTTGGGAAACCGTATTGGCTGTTAAAGCGGGGATAGGGAGATTTCCCTAAGTACCAGTATTTAATCAACACCAGGAATCAGAGGTTGTAACAATTGAAATCCAAACAGGCATGAAGGTTGAGCAAAACATCTTATAAGAAAATTACACATGTATGGAACTGACCTGCTTTTTTCCTAGGCTCAATAAGTGTGTCTGTCAATTATGTGACTTTTTTTAAGCGTAATGGTCCGTACTGCAAACTGTACTAAAGCCCATTTTTATGAGAAAGTTGGGTAAAAATTGGTGGTGTGCTGAAGAAAGGTATAAGGAAATATAGAATAACAATTGGTGAAAATAGACTGTAGAACTTAAGCTTCTTTTTAATGAGGTTCATCTCTAAGAATTGATACCTGTTTATGAAAGTTAAATTAGAAATTAGATATTACAACAGTTTTAAAACTTTTGAGCCTATTCTCCTAAAATATCTTTTTGCTAATTCATTCCTGTCCTAAGATTATCTCATAGGTAATCTTAAAGTTTGATAGTATTTTTATAAAAACAGAATTGAAAGATAACAGTCAAAATCTTGGAGCTTAAAGTTTTGGTACTAAAATTTTACTACAAAGATTAGAGGAATATAGAATGTAATTTGTTATACTTGAACAATTCTGCATTATTTTTACCTATAGCTATCACACTCCTGAATTAGAACGTTATTACTATTTTAATACAATGTTATATTAAGCACTGTGTGCCATGCATCATATTTGAGCATTAGTGAATTTTTAAAGGAAAAGTATTACCTGCATTTGGAAAGAAAATGTTAACACCTGAGCACTAACAGGTTTGGCTCAGTAGATAGAGCATTAGCCTGCAGACTGAAGGGTTGAGGGTTCGATTCTCCTTGAGGGCATATACTTAGATTGTAGGCTCAATCCCTTGCCCCTGAGGCAACCAATCAATGTCTCTCTCTCTCCTCTCTCTCTCTCTCTCTCTCTCTCTCTCTCTCCCTCTCCCTCTCCCTCTCTCCCTCTCTCCCTCTCCCTCCCTCTCTCCTTCCCTCCCTCCCCCCTCCCTTTTTCTCCTTCCCCCTTCCCTCCTTCCCTTCCACTCTTTCTAAAAATCAATGGGAAAATATCCTTGTGTGAAGATTCATAACTACAATAACCAAATGTTAACACCCGACAGAAATAACGTTATTTCTTTATTATAAAGTAGTATTTTTTTTCTTCTCTGTTTTTGGCCAGATGCTTGCATATACCACCCAGGTGTACCAGTCTTTCATGATGCATTAAAGGTAGGAATTGATATATTTCAGCCTCTTTGTATTTATAGAGTAAATTTAGAGCTGTAATACTAAATCTTTATTTTCTCATCTTTTGTGACTCTGCTTTCTTAATGACCATTTTGGGATGATTTAAGCAAGTACCCCACTAAATCCAGGGAAGATCTTTTCCAGTTATAAAATTGTTATTGCTATCCCAACTCATTTTCTATACCCCTCACTTCTTCACTTTCCTAATTTTGAAGGGAAATGAAAGTAAGTTTTGAATCCTAATCTCAGTCTGTCAGACAGCTGCTGTCTAATAAGAGCAGATGTGATTGGCTGCCATGGTTTAGGTGTGGCTACTTGTTCTTAGGAACATTAACAATCTCCTTGAATGTTTAAATATTGTTGATCCCTTTGAATTTCTAATTATGCCTTTCAGAGAGTAGTTGGATCTTTCTTGAGGTTTATCTGTTCGTTTATCTGTCGATAGCCAACTATAAACAAAGATGTACAAGCAAATAGCAAGTTTATGTTATTCTGATTAGTTCTAAGTGAGGGAAACGGGACAAATAATAGCGGAAATTGAGACCTGACTCCTCCTCATGGCTTTTTTAACCTTTTTACAAACTTGTAAGGATGGAAACTGGGAAATTGTTTTTTTTCCAGGAGTGAGGGATGTTTTAGCTTTCCTGGACTACCATTTATTCTAAGTTTAGTTTTCTTACTGTATGTTTTTCTTTTTTCTTTTCCTTGATGTTTTCTTCCAATTTATTAACCATAGTCATACTTTGCTTCTGTCTTCAACTTCCTACTTTCATTTTTTTTAATTCATTCCTCTCCCTTAAATGTTACCTCTGTGGCTTCTACAACATATTTCCATTTATGTGTGTAATTGGCAACTGCAAACTGGTGGACTCTTATTCCTAAAATAGCCTGCCCCTCAATCTTGCTCCTGCTAGATATTACTAACTTTCCAGTCATTCAGTCCATCACTCTTTTTTACTAAACATTGTCAATTATTCTGATTAATGTTAACGATTTTACTTTGAAGTACTTTATTTCTCTTTACTCCAATCCTACTGTTTAGTGTCTCTATAAACATTTTCTTGAAGACCTAGACTTTCTAAGACTACTGGATTCACAGCTCAGTAGATTTTAAACCAGCTGTGGGCAAACTACGGCCCGCGGGCCGGATCCGGCCTGTTTGAAATGAATAAAACTATTGAAAAAAAAGACCGTACCCTTTTATGTAATGATGTTTACTTTGAATTTATATTAGTTCACACAAACACTCCATCCATGCTTTTGTTCCGGCCCTCCAGTCCAGTTTAAGAACCCATTGTGGCCCTCGAGTCAAAAAGTTTGCCCACCCTTGTTTTAGACAAACTAAATCAATATAGTGTCTACTGTTGCCAGTTTTATACTTGATCAAGTAAGATGTTAAACATTGCAGTAACAAAAGAAAGAACATTTTAATATTCAACTTAGAAGAGGTATATTTAGAGAAAAGGACAATCCTTCCTAAGAAACAACTGGAACCTTATACTCATATACTTAAATTTATCCTTCATTTTTTCTCATTTTACTGAGGACTACCATGGATCCTAGATTGGCATTTGGGAACAACTAGTCTGTATCATCTATATAGACCAGTATCCCCAGCATATACTAGATAAAATTCTCCATATGTAATTAAGACAATAAAGCCTTTTCTTGCATGGAATAACTTCTCTGATGACTATATTATTAATGCTATTTAAACCCTCTATATAAGGTTATAGTAACTCTTCATCTCTATCTCAATTTAGAATAAAAAAGAATTACATTTCAAAATAAAGGAAATATATTAATTTTTTCTTTAAAAAAACAAAATCAAAACACCTCTAAGTGCATATTGTGAAAAAAATCACTACCAAATTCTTCAAGCAGTATATTTGGGTGAGAGGGGTGGTGTGAGACCCAGATGGGTATGTGCAAAGCTGGCCCTTAGTCTATATTTCAGGCCTCCAAAGTCTTCCTACCTTTTTATTTCTGCATTCTCTGTACTACATTGGAATTAAACTTCAAGTCATTTTTTGATGAGCCAGTTGATACTTTGTTCAGAAGTTAACACAGTGGATAACAATTTCTATATTTTTATGTTTCCTGACTGAAAAGATCATTTAACCTTCAAAGATCTAACAATGCTTAGGTTACTATAATTATTTCTCTGGTTTACCAGATTTTTAAAATAAAGCACTTCACTTTATTTTTAAGGAATTTTTGAACTACATAAATATATATGCAAGTCACTTTAGGGTTCAAGAAGGTAAGTACAAGTAGAGTATTTTACTGGGTTGTGGTTCTCATGCAAATACGGTTTTCAGGTTTGTTTTTTTTTCCTCTCATGTTTCATAGGGTTGGTCTTGCTGTAGGAGAAGAACAACGGATTTTTCTGATTTTTTGAGCATTGTAGTAAGTATTAAATTTTTTCTAGATTATCTCCTGAAGAGTGCATATTCTGCGAAGCTCCAGATTTAAGGAGTCTGATTTCAGACGAGGCCCTGTTAACTTGCAGATCTTTTTTTTTTTTTTTTAATGGAGCTCACCTCCCTCCTAGAGTCTTAAAAAGTAGGAATTTATCTACCTGTTCTAGAGATTACAGTTTCAAGTTTCCCATTTTGATTAAAGCTTGATGTAAGTAGTCCTAAAGGAACATCAGGAAGATGGAAGATGGTAGGTAACAATTTAATGCATTTTCAGTTAGGAACAATACATTTTTATCAAGTCAAAGATACCATGGAAATGTACCATTATTTTATATACTTGTAAGAAAGGAAACTAGAGCTGTTAATTGATGTGTCATTAATTTTATGCTTTCAGAGATGTTAAAATGTATGTATGGCTCAGTGGGATATGGAAAAGGTAGCTAGCATTTATTGAATGTTTGCCACCTGCCAGACGTGCCACGTTTTCTATTATTTTATTTAGTCCTCTCAAAAAATATCTTACCATCATCTCCTGTACTGATGAGAAAACTGAGATTTCAGAAGATTAATTAATTTGTTCAAGATCATGTAGCTAGTTAGTATCAGAACTGGGAATCAGATTGAGGCCCTTTTTTATAAATAATTTATAGAATTCTCTTTGTGAGATCTCCAGAATTTGTTTCCTATTAACAAGAAGTTTGTGCTTTATGTTTAATAGAGAGTTAAGTAGATATTTATGAAATGTTATTCAGAAGCTTTTTTTAAAAAAATGCATTATTCAGATATAATATCTATATATATAAAAGGCTAAATGACTGGACAGTAGCTATGCCTCACACTGACCACCAGGGAGCAGACGCTAAATTCAGGAAGTGCTGAGCGACAGCAACTTTGCAGAGTTCCCTCTTGCACTCCGAGACCCCTTGGGGGATGTCAGACTGCAGGTTTCGGCCCGATCCCTGCAGGCCAGGCTGTGGGACTCCACCTGCTGGAGGGATCCTGCTCACTCTGCAGATGCCCTTTGAGCCCTGGTGCCACCCCAGGTGTGGCCAGCTGGGGAGGGATTTTGGGAGGTGTGTCCAGCTGGTCTCACCCAGTCCCGCTCCGCCAGCCATGATCTAATTAATTTCCTTTCAGTGTGCACAAATCCGTGCACCGGGCCTCTAGTTTACAAATAAAAGCAAATTTGGAGTCTTATTTTTAGTTTCTTTAAAAAAGTCAGTATGATAAAAGTGAACAAGAGGACTTATTAATAAAGAATTAAAAATAGTATTTTTATCAAGGCATGTGAAATAGATGAGAGGGCAACTCTTAATGAATACCTTTCACTAACAGGGCTGTACAAAAGGTAGGCATAATAGTGAAAAGCCACCTGAGCCAGTCAAACCTGAAGTCAAGACTACTGAGAAGAAAGAACTATCTGAATTGAAACCCAAATTTCAGGAGCACATCATCCAAGCCCCTAAACCAGTAGAAGCAATAAAGAGGCCAAGGTACATGCTTTACAGTTGCATATTTTTGTCACACTTGAATAATAGCATTTGTTCTTAGTGTTATGGATTTGCATAATTACATTTATAACAGTTGTTTGGGTCACCATCTTTTTTACCATTTGGTTTTCCTTTAGATAGATCTTTTATTTTTATTCCTCCTCAACTTGAGGCCCTGTACACAGTAAACTTAACTGCAGAGTTGGTCACTGTACCATCATAGTTATGGTGGGTGGAGGAGCCACACATCCGTCTTGTGCCTTGGGTTGTGTCTTTCTCACTGTGACATAGTGAGATTCTGTAAAGGAATTGCCCTTTTCAACAGTTTGAGTTGAAAAAGAACTTAGAGACCTTCCTTCTCATTTTCTCTACTGTTTCTTGAATATCTTTTAGGACATTCTTGACAGAAAAATTTTTAGTTCCCTTTCAAATCTAGTAAAAAAGAATGTCCTTTTATTTCAAAGGGGTCTATTATATTGTTACCAGATCAGTATGTGATTTTCACATGGAGCCAAAGTCTCTTTTTTATTTGTCTATATTTTGTCACTTAGAAGCCTAGTGCCATCTTTTACTTTCAGATGCCTGAAACTGTTCATCTCATTATTGCTGACTTTGATTTAGATAGCATTTCTGTTAAAGTTTTTAATGTAATTGACTTAGATAGGATATCTGTTAAAGCACTTTTGCTCAGTAGAATTATATAGATTCTTCATACTCACCTAGACTCAATTTTATATTCCTACACATGCATGTTGGGTGCCACTGTTACACCAGGTCTTCTTCATGTTGCACTTGAGTGCTGAATTGTTTTAGAACCAAAGTACAAGAATCAAAAAATGGATTGGACTTTGGCCTCAAATATGGCTCCTGTTGATATTTTATTTACACTATAGACTTAGGGTTTCCCAGCTTTTCCTTTAGTAATCTTACTTAAATTTATAGCATAGTGAATTATATCAGACCAAGATAAGAACCCCAAGAGACTTTTTGAATATTTGACTATTAAGCAAACTACTTAGAACGAGTTTTATTCCAACTTCACCTTATTAAAAATCATGAGAGACTTTATCAAATGCCTTGCTTGGCCGTCTAAAAAGTTTTTAATTATCAGAAAAAGACAAGAGTCGTTGCATGACTCCTTAAGTGTTACAGTGTACTCATAATACTATAATTGTCAATATGAGTTACTATTTGCTTTAAATAATGGACTACTACTAATTTTACTTTAGAGGAAGTGAGATA